TGCACTAGACATTTCATATTTAACATGCAAACAGTCATTGGAAGGGTCAGGGCTTGGAATCCCAAGAGGAAGGTGCTGAACCCCAGAGCAGGATGGGATTTCAGATGCACCCCTGGCTTCTCCATGCCCTTTGATTAGCTTAGGTAGTTCTCCACTCAGCTGGCTTTCGTGCATCCTTTCTGAGCTCCTTCTTCCTCCTGATCATAGGATTTTTTAGACTGTTTTTGCCATTTTTAGATGCGAAAGCTGGGGTGGAGGCTCGGAATCAAGAGATGCAACATACTTCTGTATTGTCAAAAGTAGTCTCTGCAGATCTAGGATTCTGGAAGCAGGGGCGGGGGGTGCAGATTGTTATATCACATATAACAACACATTTTCTCCAGTTATAAAGAAATGAGATGCTTTCCTAACGTGCTGCGGGCTTAGTAGTATATTATTACATTTAAAATTGAAGCAAAAACAAATATAACTTGATTGGACTGTGCTTTAATTTGCTATTATGTATTAAAAAGCAACTAGGCAAAAAATAATCAAAAGATGCTGTTTTATTGGTCCTGTAGTCATTAGAATTAAATGTACAACTCTTTTTCAGATTCATAAAATAAAATCTAGCCTTCTTGGCAGTGCATCCCATGCTTCACTGAAGAATATTTCCACACCCAAGTTAACATTTTTAGGTAAAGTTAAAAACCGTCTCCAGGGCTGTGAAAACAGTCACATTACTAGGCAAAATGACAGCAGAATTGCCAAAGAAAGGATAGCTTGACTAGTGAAACATCAAGACAATTAAAAAAGAGTGGGTCATCAGCACCTGTGGAATGAAGTGTTCAGACAGAATCAGGTGGATTATAACCAGCAATGAAGTCAATTGACTCTCTTACTGCTGCCCGAATAGAAATGCTGTGTCTGCTATGAGGAATCAAAGGCCTGGAGTGGGGAGGAGGGGAGGCAGTGCTGCTACTGCGCCACTGCATGCCCACCTCGTCCTGTAGCCACTCCTGGTTTCTGCCTTAAAACAACACCCACAGAGAAATTCATGATCTCTTGATGGTATCTCTTTTCAATCTGTGTATACATCTCTTGTGTAACTGTCAGACCTGTCATTTCCAAGACATTGAGCTAGTAGTGCTCCCAAACTTCCTTTTGAGAATGTCTTTAAATGAGTCAAAAAGGTGCATCACTCTGGGGAGAGGTCTGAAATAGCTACTTAAATCATAGATCGTTCTTCTAAGTATCTGCATCTGCACCCATTCAGTGACCCTGAGGAGCTGTCTTCAGGGAGAGGGTCTAGAGGAGGGCCACCTGTATGGTTAAGTGTTTGCAGGCCAAGCCCCCTGAGGAAACTAAGGGACCTGGATCTCGTCAGCCTCTGCAGGAGAAGGCTGAGAGTGATCTTGTGGCCACTTACAAATTCCTTAGGGGGATGCAGCAAGGGATCGGAGATGCTCTGTTCACCAGGACGCCTCTTGGGGTAACAAGGAACAATGGAAACAAAGTGATGGAGAACAGATTTAGTCTAGACATCAGGAAAAACGTCTTCACAGTAAGGGTGGCCAAAATTTGGAATGGGCTTCCAAGGGAGGTGGTGCTCTCCCCTACCCTGGGAGTCTTTAAGAGCAGGCGGGAGAGGCACTTTTTCCTGCCTAGGCAGGGGTGGGGTGGACTTGATGAACTGTCGAGGTCCCTTCCAACCCTATGAATCTCTTGTGTGAGCAGCATAGTTAAGTATGAACTTGCTTACATAATTCAGTGTGTGTACATCAGTCTTTGAATTCCCTTTATCTCTTCAGATCACAGCGTGTTCCATGTTGCCTGAATCTTTGGTTCACCAGGCAAGACAGAAGGCAGGCTCTCGCTCTCGCTCTCGCTCTCTCTTGCTCTCCCTCCCTCCCTGCCAAGCATGTTCTTTCCATTGTTTAAAACTGGCATTTGGCTTTATCCAGTTTAAGGCTGTGAGCTCATGCCATTTTCAGTCCTCTCCTCAGATGTTCCTGATATTTAACTAAGCTAAATTACTGTATTCTTAGCAGCTAGTTTATTGTAAGGTGACATTCTTGTTGAGCTGAAGATATTCTGAAAAGCAGTCATAGGAAGCAGGATGTACCCCATGGTGTGGTGAAAGTGCTGATTTTTGAGTTTTCACCATTCAGGAGTCTGCCTTGCTGATGCATCTGGTGTGCTGAAGAATTTGGTTTTTGATGGAGAAGTGAAAATATTCCCTTTTTATGTGTTTTGTTCAGCTTTTTAGTGTCCAGTCACAGTCTCCCTCTTTGCCCCTTTGAGATTAGTAAGGAGTGAACCCACTCTGTTACTTCTTCTAGTCTTTAAATGCCATGTTTCACAGCTCTTCTAGTCTTTTTCTTAAGGTTAAGCTTTTACCATTGAAACAGGCTACAGGCTCAGCATCTTCTCTTAAATGTATTTTGTATTGTACTGGTATTCATTTTCTATAAAGTGGCTTTGTATGATGCTGTTAAGTCATTCATATCTATGTCCAGATGTTTGAACTCTGTTATACACATTCTTGATAACACCTAGCACCTCACACATAGATTGAAGACTAGTTATGCCAACATAACCTTTGTTTTTTACATTTTTCCTTTGTAGTTGAATCTACATCTTTTACCTCTCAGGATATAAGAGGTGCTGAGGCAGGGACATGCTTCAGCCCTCTGGTTGACTGTGCTACTTTGCACAAAAGAATTCAACATTCATTGAGCCAAGGGAGGGAGTACGTTGAGCATGATTTTCTACCCTGGCATTAGAGCAGTCACCTGGGAAAAGCAAACCCTGGGTCCTGGTCTCTCGGTCAAGAACCATTCTTATGTATTTTATCTAATGACCATTTAATATAAAAAATACATAAAACTCCTTGATAGAGAGTGGAACAAAGGTCTCCCTCAAGTGAACACCCAGATAAGCTGAGGGCAGGTTCAGGTCACTCTTCAGTTTGATTGGATTAAAGTCCACAAGAAAGTGCTGTACCCACCAGTAGGTTGGTAGTGTAGGGGAAGGTGCTCTTTAACTTTCCCACCTAGAGCTGTTCCACTTTTTATGGATTCATGAAATATTCATTGGTCCAGACAAGAACAGAGAGGTAAATGGCTCTACCGTAATGGTTAGGCCACTCATCTAGGAGTAGGAAAATAAGAGTAGGTAATTTGAATCTGTATCTCCTACCCAGTCTGGGTAAACACACTAACTACTAGGCTTTGGCTTAAAAGCAGTGGAAGGGGATTATTTCTCACCTTATGATCACGTGTACTAGACCAGGCCCTGTAAAAAGGGTGTTTGTGAAACCTGCTGGGATACAGTCATCACAATCACAGAGGTATGGTTATCATAGAATCATAGAAGCAGGGTCGGAAGGGACCTTGTAGATCTTCAAGTCCAACCCCCTGCCTGGGCAGGAAGAAAACTGGGCTCAAATGACCCCAGCCAGGTAGGCATCAAGCCTCTCCTTAAAGACCCCCAGGGTAGGAGGCAGCACCACTTCCCTTGGAACTTGGTTCCAGATCCTAGCCGCCCTAACTGTGAAGTAGTTCCTACGGATGTCTAATCTAAACCTGCTCTCCAACAACTTGTGGCCGTTATTCCTTGTTATCCCGGGGGGCGCTGGGGGAAACAAGGTCTACCCCAACCCCTTCTGGTCCCCCCTAGTGATTTTATAGATGGTCACCAGATCCCCTCAGCCTTCTCTTGTGAAGGCTGAACAGGTTCAGGTCCCGTAGCCTCTCATTGTAGGGTCTGCCCTGCTGTCCCTGGATCATGCGGGTGGCCCTCTTCTGGACCCTCTCAAAGTTGTCCACATCCCTCTTGAAGTGGGGTGCCCAGAACTGGACACAGCACTCCAACTGCGGCCTGACCAGTGTCATGTAGAGGGGGAGGATCACCTCCTTGGACCTACTTGAGATGCACCTGTGGATGCACGATGGGGTCCGGTTAGCCCTGCCGACCGTGACCTCGCATTGTCGGCCCATGTTCATCTTGGAGTCAATGATGACTCCAAGATCCCTTTCTGCCTCCGTGCTCTCAAGAAGGGAGTTTCCCATCTTATAAGTGTGCTGCTGGTTACTACTGCCCAAGTGCAGCACCCCGCACTTGTCCATATTGAAACGCATCCTGTTTTTGTTAGCCCACCCCTGCAACCTATCTAGGTCTTTCTGCAGTCTTTCCCTCCCTGCTAACGTGCCCACCTCACCCCAAATTTTGGTATCATCAGCAAATTTGAACAGGTTGCTTTTCACCCCATCATCCAAATCACTGATAAAGTTGAACAGTGCAGGCCCAAGGACCGAGCCCTGGGGGACTCCACTGCCCACTTCCCCCCAGGTCGAATATGACCTGTCCACCACCACCCTCTGAGTACAACCCTTCAGCCAGTTATGTGTCAAGCACTTCAGGCCTTGTTGGTTCTGCACATTCCCAGCAGCAAAAGTTTAGGCATTTTCAGTGCTAGGGCACAACCCATGCAAACCAGAGGCAGAATAAGGCACATGGCAATAGTACAGTTGCTGGAGGACTTGCTGGTTGTAGGAGCCCTGGGTTCAAGTTCCTGCTCTGAGTCCATTTAAAAAATTGGGTCTAGGCCCTTCACCTGTCTGCTGACTAATCACTAAATGATTGGGTGCAAGGTAAGAGAAAGGTTCAAAGGACACTGCCTCCAAAGATGTTTAGGTACCCAGTTTCCTTTTAAGTCAATGAAAGGTAGACGCTTAAACACCTCTGAGTATGTGGACCTCAAAACAAACCCTCAAAGAAGTGGCTTCTTTTGGAGGCATGGGCAACATCTTTATTTTCTGTGAGGTGCCTTGTATGGTTGCAGACAGTAAAACATAATAATGTATGTCACCTTGGGGACTAATTTGATTATAAGAATTTCATTTTTTTATGTAGCAGTCTTCAGTGCAGGGAAGACAAGTCTCCTTGTGCCCAGTTTGTATCCTGTACCTGTGTATGAGAATGAGCACACACAATTAAAGGAAATGAGAATTTTTAGTGTATGCAAATTTATTCAATTCTGCAGTTATTTATTTACAGTTGATGACTTATACCAACAAATGAGGTAAAAATATGAGGTATTAATATGAGTATAATATTTAAAAAATGTAACTATCATAGTGTATTTCCAATGGCAACATAACACTTGATACAAAATACTGCAGTGTCTGACTGGTAGTATCTTAATGCACAATTTTACAGAAAATGTATTTCACTGATACATGGCTTAGAGATGGTGCAAGTACATCCACAAAGATTGTGAGGCACCCAACAATGAAAGGTCAGTCTACCATCTTGGTAAGTACAGTAGGTAGACTGAGCAAACCTTCCAACTGCTAATGTATTGGGATAAAACAACTATTGTAGTTGGCTAACTTTTTTTTTTAATTGCTTTCCCAAATAGTTTACTTCTAATCTACAGAATTGCCATTTCCAGTGCCTGGATAATTTTGTGTCCATTAATGCCTATATAATATTTATTTATGATAGCTAAGGTAATACAAGGGCATTAAAATCTCATACTTTAGGATATTGCTACCATGGCTATATGCATTGGGGAAGTTTGCTTTCCTCTGGAGCTTACAGTAGTGACAATTGCTGCCATCTGGAAGCTGTTTTTGACAAATGAATAATAGGATGTAGTATGAAATTCTGTCCTCTTGAGCAATCATTTCTGTAACTGTCTATCTCTAGGGTCAGAGTGGTTACTGTGGCATCCAGATATCTTACAATACATATAGGCAGATGCAGATAATTTAGTACTTGCATTTCTAATACTTACAGAAAACTGACAATTGCACATTGCTGACAAATATCATAACACTGATCTAATCTATGCAGTTTCAAAGTACTAGCAGAAGCTAATTCTCCAAAACAGGTTGCTGAATCATGGTACAAAATGCTATGGCTATTGGTAAAAACATGTATCACACTGAATCAAACTCTCAATAAATCTCTGTGGGATACATTTAAAAAAGTGGACTGAAACATGTATCTTGAATAACCAAGCTGTCTTCTGCAGCAATAAATAAGATTAAGGTGAACAAATCTGACTAATGAAGGAGAACTGTGTTAGCAGACTGGTATGTATACAACTACATTTTTGGTTTTATGTTAGTTAAAAAAAAACAACCCTGTCTTAAAGATAACTTCAACTAATTTTCAGCATTTTAAAGCATTCCTCATTTAGCAAAATAGTAAGTCCCTGAAAATGAAATGCTCTAGTCAACTTGAATGGCTCTTACTCCTCTTAACCAGGGGCACATCCTGGCCCCACTGCCCTCAACAGAAGCAGGACAATGGCATGAAGATAGTGCAACACATAATATGAAAATGTTTACTGTTATTAAATAAGCATTTTTTCAAGAATTAGTTTTCATTTTTAAGCTTTTAAATTTCTGAAATGCATAAACAACTTTTTTAAAAAAGTTTAGTTTATTTCTATATGGAGGTATAAAAAGGAGAGTTATCTGCACCTTTCAGTTCATTATAAGAAACATTGTTTTGGACTTTGCTAAACAATTAAATATCTTGACAAAAGAAGGAAAGAACAGCTTTATAAGTACTTGTTTAGAGCCTAGCCAGAGGTCTGAAAGAAACATTTAACACTGGTGGCTCTCCATAACTTACCACTTTGAGTTAATAAAGAACTTTACTGTTTACCTTATCTGCAACATTCCCTTCTACTTCTCCAAAATTATGGGAAGTACCTTGAATACTGCAAAGAGTAAGGCTGTGTAACTGCAAATATTTCCTTGTTTAAGGCAACAGCAAGTTTTCAAAGACTATTATACAGTCACAAACTTTCTGCTGAACAGTGTGAAGTCTTCAAACTGTGCACCTGGCTACACTGTCTGCATTAGCATTTTATTTCCTACATTATTCCTTTCAAACTCCCTACACAGAACTCTGCGTACCTTTTAGTAACCTAGACACACCACACACAAAACAAACATGAGAATGACCAAGTATTCAATTCTTTAGGTATCATGCAGATTACATCATATAGCCCTGTGATAATAAGAAAATACAGTTTATGTAGCATTGAAACACTGAGAAACAAGTGACAGACATATATGGTCCAAATGGATGAATGTGATTGTTAGAAAGCACTAAATTATATACAAAATAATTACTTTATACATACAACCATATATAATATATGGATAAATATATACATATTGTACATTATTTACAAATAAAATATGCTTCTTAGAAGCCTTTAAATATCAGAATTATTCAACACAAGTAACGGTAATAGACTCATTTTAAAGTAATGGTGATCAAAGCTCTTTAAAAAAATGTTTACTTCAGTAATGGAAATGAAGGTAGTAGGTGAGTAACACCTCCAGAATGAAAGTGTCTTCCTGTAAAATTCCTGTTTCACCACTGCACAGACTTCAGGTCACCCTTCTCCAGCCAGTAACTGCAGCCTTAATCAAATGAGTTCTTTGCCTCAGGTCCTTCTGTTCTCTACTGTATCCTGATTTATGCTTACAACCTTCCCGGAACATTTACTCAGATTTTGGTTTCTGGTCCCTCAGCAATCAGGGGTTGGAATGAGTTTCTGATTCTGGCAACTTCTGCTGCACACAGATGTCCAAAACCTTTATTGTACCACTCTGGGGAACGGCCCCTGAAGAAATGAAAAGAAATGAAATTACTGACAAACTGTGCTTCAGAGAGGATGATGGCCATACATGTTACTCCTTACTCTGCAGCATCATGGAAATCCCACAGTCCTGATGGGGAAATCAGCTATCCAATCATAAGTGTACTTTGACAGCTCTCCCATGCAGTACTCAACTTTACATTGCATGCAGTGTACCAGAGGCAATTATACTATATTTGCATTGCATGAAGTGGTGGGGTGGTGAGCTTGGGATAGACAGAATGTCTCATTTGCAATTCAGGCACATCAGACCTGTCCTCTATTCTATCAACTGGCTTTCTATAAACTATGAAATCAAGTTCAAGGTCATGTACTTATGTTCATGGCACATCATTTCCTCTAGTACTTTAAAAGACCATTTAAGCTCAAAGACGAAGGCCACTGTCACCAGCTTTGCATTTCTAGCACAAAAGAGTTCTGTCATTACTGTGAAGTTTAACTGTATGAGTCCAAGAGCCTTCTCAGGGGCTGGCTCAAAACTGGTGAACTTCAACATTCAAACTATTACAGATCTCACCATCTTCCACTCTAAAGTGCAAAGTGCCTTTTTGACCTTGCCCCTCTGCTAGGAAGGCACAACTGGCCTTTCCAGTTAAATGGGTTGAAATTAGCTTTGTGGTCTTTGGTTTACTGAGGGACATCATTGATCTGCACTCTGCAGATGAGATACTTACTTTAGGTCTATTCTACAGATGTGTGTCAACCTGGATTTTCCTGAGCCACACGGCTCTATTAAATATTGACAGTCCATCACAATTGCCCGTACACTCCCCATCAAAGGAGCCTCTTCATGTTCCACTGAAACAGCCACTAGCATACACATCCCTTTTGGCAAATCTGTCCTCCATGTCCTGTTGCAACACATTAAAAAAAAAGGAAATATTACTTTTAGGGTAAAAGGGTGTCTTTACACATGCTGCAGGATGAGGCTGGGGAGGGGTGCTTTAATTAGAATGCATTGGAGCAGGCATCGGATATATGTATAGGTGCCCTAAATGTTTAAGCAGAGGATAAATAAGTTTTGACATCAGGAAGGTCTGTACTTTCTATGAACACATCAGGGAGAAAACAGGAGAGAATTTCCTTAAGTAACTTTTGCAGTCCACTAATTAACTAAACCATCTCTCCAGGAAAGCATCCAACAGAATTCATGCCTACTTTTTAGATCCAGTCTCTCTCTTGAAACAGATTAATTATGACAGTGGGTATCATTAAAATCTTGCCCTTAATGCTTGCAGAAAGAGACATGCTAGTCATTAACAGTCATGGGGGATGTGGGTTTTAATTTCTCTAGAAGGAGGTGAGTTGAGCCCCTAGGTCTCCCTCTTCCTGAACAGGGCCTCTAACCTCAGAGTTTACCTAGAATGCCTGGCATTAAATGGTGACTTTGACATAATGGACATCTCAGAGACTTGTTTGATAATAATCAATGGGATACTGTTATAACACGTTACAAACTATATGGAAATGACAGCATAGGACATGTAGATGGAGGAGTGGCACTGTATGTTAAGGCTAGTATATACTGTCACGGTATAAAAATCTTATCTAAAAGGAAAACTACCAGAGACTCCCAGGCCATGTCCAGACGAGCGCGGCAGTGTGGTATGTGCTGCCTCAGACATGTCTGCGGTGCCACATACTGCATGTTTCCATGCTGCAAGGGAGTGGGATGGGGTTTTTTTTTTTGACCCTTGGATATCCAGGGATCAAAAAAACAAACTGTGGGGAAAAAAAAGGTGGAGCGGTGCATGCAGGGGCAGCACACACTCAAAACCAGAGCCTGGCTGACTGGAGCCATGTTCCACTGCCAGCCAAGCTCTGTGTGGCAGGATTGTTGCTGCTGCAGCCCCGGGAGGCCCCCCAGGGCCCCAGATAAGGCTGCTGGGGCCAACACAGTGCCGCCCCCAGCCTCCTCCACCACACCCAGGGTAACTTGCCACACAGCAGAACGCGCATAGCACAGGTGTTCCCCGGGGACAACTAGTGGTGGCACAAGGTGTGCCACTGCTAGTTGTCCCTGTGGAACCAAATATCCATGCACGTGTGGACACGGCCTCTGTGGGTAGAAATTCCATACTTGAATAAAAAGAATGAAATACTAGGATTCTACTACTGATAGCCTGATCAGGAAGGTGAAGGTGATTATGAAATGCTTAGGGAGATTAGAGAAGATGCTAAAAGGGGTCAAGCAATAATAATGGGAGACTCCAACTATTTTCACACAGACTGGATCAGCACCTCATCCAGGCAAGATGTGGAAATAAAATTTCTAGGTATAATAAATGACTGTGTTCTAGAACAACTCATCTTGGAACCCACAAGAGGAGAAGCAATTCTAGACCTAATCCCGAGTAACAGGACCTAATTCAAGAGATATGTGTTGATAAATTAATCTCTAATAGCGACCATAACATAATTCAACATCCTACTAGGAGGGAGTAAGCCAAAGAAGTCCACCGTGCCAATATGCAGTTTAAGGAAGGGAAATTGCATAAAAATGATGAAACTAGTCAAAAAGAAGTTAAAAAGAGCTGACAAAAAGGCCTGCAGGCAGCTTGGGAGCTGATTAAAAATACCATATTAGAGGCTCAGTCAAAGTATATGCCACAAATCAAAAAGGTTATCATGTGGACCAGTAAAATCCCTGTATGGTTTAAGAGCAAAGATAAGGAGGCCACTCAAGGCAAACAATCATCTTTCAAAAAAATGGAAGGCGCCCAAATGAGGAAAACAGGATAGCTCACAGACTGGTAGGTTAAGTGTAAAAGCAAAATAAGGCAAGCCCAAAAAAGAATTTAAGTATCCTCTAGCAAAAGCTGCTAAAGTTAATAATAAAAACTTTTAAAAATACATCAGAAACAGACCATCAGATAGAGAATTCGTGGGACTACTTGATCCCAGGGGTGTAAAAAGTGCATTCGGGGATGAAAAGGGCATAGCAGAGAAGCTATAAGAATTCTTTGCTTTGGTGTTTACTGCAGAAAATACTGGGGAAATTTTCATGCCAGAACAATCCTTCCTAGTACATTGGTCTGAAGAGTTACATCACAGTGAAGTGACAGCAGAAGAAGTTTTAGAACAAATTGATGAATACTATTAAGTCAGGGCTTTTCATCCCTTTTGAATCAGTGTACCCCTGGTGGCCACACACACAGTGGGGGGGCAAGGGGGCACAGCTGAATGCAGAGCGGTGGCAGCTGCCGCGTGCAAGCTTCCTCGGCCCCTCACGTCCAGGTGGGTGGGTGGCACCTACATGGTAGCGCGGGATGGTGCATGGCGGTGCTCTGTTCCTGCCCACCCACGTGTACCCCCCAGGGTCTTCTCAAGTACATCCAGAGGTATGCGTACCCCTGGTTGACAACCCCTGCTATTAAGTGACCAGGCCCAGATGGTAGCCATCCAAGAGTTCTGAAGGAACTCAAAGGTGAAATTGCAGAACTACTGGCAATAGTGTGTTATTTATCATTGCAAACAGCCTCTGTGCCAGATACCTGGCAGGTTGCCAAAATAATGCCCATCTTCAGAAAGGACTCCAGAGGTGATCCTGGGAACGATAGACCTGTGAGTCTCATTCCCATCCAAGGTAATCTGGTACTATCTATAACAAAGAAGTGAATCGGAATTCACATGGATAAATACGATCTGCCAAAGAAGAGTCAGCATGGTTTTTGTAAAGGGAAATCCTGCCTCTCAGATCTGCTGGAGTTCTTCAAAGATGCTAACAAGCATGTATACAAGGGGGACCCAGTTGACATAATATACTTGAACTTTCAAAAAGCTTTCAACAAAGTCCTTCAACAAAAGCTTAAAAAATGATTGGCATGGCATTGCAGAGAAGGTTCTTTTATGGCCTGAGATCTGGATAAAAGATAGGCAACAAAGAGTAGGGCTCATAGTTCAATTTTCAGAATGGAGGCAGGTCAAAAGTAGGGTGCTGAATGGCTCTTTGCCAGGCTCAATTTTGTTTAACGTTTTCATCAATGACCTGGAAATGGGGCTATACAGTGAAATCTCCAAGTCTGCAAATGATACCAAATTATCCTAGGTAACCAAATCCCAAGCTGAAAAAGATGAGCTGAAAAAGAATCTCACCAGGCTAAGTGAGTGAACCAAAAAAGTGGCAGATGAACTTCAGTTTTGACAAGTGTAAGGGAAAACTAACCTCAACTATACATACACAATGATGGATTCTGAACTAGCTGTTTTGACCTTGGAGTCACTGTATAAAGTTCTCTAAAAACATCAGTTCAATGTGCAGTGGCAACCAAAAAAGCCAATGAAATGTTGGGCATCATTAACAAGCAAATAGAAAAAAAAAGGAGAATATCATTATGCCATTATGCAAATCCACGATGTACCCGCATCTTGAATACTGTGTGCAGTTCTGGTCTTCTGATCTCAAAAAGGATGTTGTAGAATTAGGAAAGATGCAGAGAAGGGCAGTTAAAATTATCAAGTATATGAAGCAGTTGCCATACCAAGAGAGAGAGAAAAGGCTAGGACTCTTCAGTTTCAAAAGGAGAAGGCTGAGCAGAGATAGAATAGAGGTCTATAAAATCTTGAATGTGAACCAAGTGAACACAGAAGTGTAGATCCCAGAATACTACAGTTTGCAGCATCCACTGAAATTAGTAGGAGAGATGTTTAAAACCTAACAAGAGAAAGTACTTTTTTTTTTTAAACACACGATACATAGTTGACTTTAGTTGACTTGTAGGATTCATTTTTGCAGGAGGTGGTAGAGGCAAACAGCATAACCAGGTTGAAAAAGGGACTAGACAGAATCATGGATGACAGATCTATTAAGAGCTGTTTAACTGAACATATGAAGATGTTTCCACTGGCATCTCTAAACCAATAATGGTAGTTACCCAGGAGGGTAATGAATAGGGGATAGATCCTCTTTGGAATGCCCAATGTGATAATTCACTCCCATATTTATTTGAGAGCCTATGTGAACTAGAAAGATGTTGAAATAGTTACCTACTGCCCACTGACAGACTTAAATGTTTTTGGTTTTTAAGCAATGGAATTTCTTGGTCTACACATATTCCAACTTTAAATGTTAGTTGGCAGCTTTAACTTAAAAGGTGTCCAGATTGGATTTTCCTTTCTTGGGGGCTCTTAAAACTCCTATATAGCGAGAAGACCCTTTCTCCAGAGAGTTGGGTTGTATTTGTATTGTTTTGACAGCAAACACAGATAGGTGAAACAGCCATTATTGCTAGCAATTACTATCAGAAAGAACAACATATCTAGTCTTATAAGAATGAGCTGCAGGAGCATTGCTCAAATTTCATTGAGGAAAAGTGTGAGGCAAGGATTTCTTAGGGTGATATCTTTTATTGGACCAACTGCATATTTGGGATGGAGTCAGAGAAGCTGGAGAAGAATGTTTTGCATCAGAAACTTTTATAACTCAATCCCAACTATGCAGTTGGTCTGATCAAAAATATCACTCTAAGAAATACTTGTTTATTGCATAATTCCCAGACCACTGTGGCTACAACATCACTTTAACACTACCATTCAGATAAAGGTCAGTGTGCTCTAAGTACACAGCTGTAGTTTGCTTTGAGGATTAATATACTGTAGCACAAATGTACATGGCATGTGTGCTCTCTACATGCAAGTGTGTAAATGTTAAAGATAGATATTGGTAAGAACATATCTTCTTAACATCAATGTGAAAGACACTGGAGAATTACCTTTCACTTACCTTAAAACTACAAAATCTCTGACGGGATGGGGAGCCATGCTGTTTAAAACATATTGGTATATTTCTGTCTGCTTGTCCAGAGTCTCTATGATCTTCCATTGCAAGAAGTCCTCATCCCAAAGATGACGTTCTCTTAGCACCCGATTTAGTACGACTGACGGGGGTGCTTCAACTTCAACCGATACTTTCCAAAGCCGTAGTGGGTTCCCATCCCCCACCTGAAGTAAAGAGAAAATGAAAATGCTGGACCTATGAATATATGCTCAGTGGAGAATGAATGAAGGATTCATGGAGGGGACTATTAGCATATGCTTAAGATAAAGTTCTGGATCATTTATATTTACAGATAATATTATTCACTGTTATTTATTTTCCTGTACAGAAATACACCTCTGCTGGCACTTAAAACAATAGATTAAATTCTGTTCCAAGATCAATGTAAATCTGGAGTAGCTTTCCTGATGGCACTGGAGTTACTCTATATAGTGTGATGTGAATAAGTCTTTGCCCCAAATATCTTAAGTAAGTGGAACATGGGTCAGAGAAAAAGTCAGAGAATGGGAAATGTTTGGAAAACAACCCTAGGTAGATAGAGGGAGTGGTTGCAGGCAAAGAATCCTATGTTCAACAGGGAAGAAGGCTATAAGGATACTCTGAGTTGAGGCTGTGCCCCTCTCACTAATCAGTGCAATAGAAATAATCGGTGTGGAATGTATGGACCTGGTGGCTCATTCTTGTGTCTAGATATTTTTCTTCTTTCAGTGGCTCTAAAATAGTAGTAGTGGAAGGGCTTTCATATAAAAAAATGTTGCTCACTCACCCTGAATTCTGCTCTGCAGGCTGGAGAAAACTCTAGCATGCCCAAGATGATATTTTGAGGGACAGTACTGTGCTGAATAGAGTGGTGACAACAGCATGATCAGACTGGATCACCACATCTGGAATCAGGAAGGAAATTTACTCTATGGTCAGCTAGGTACAGACTGTGGGGATTTTTTCCTTCCTCTGTAGAGGAGGCATGGCCCTCCTCCTTAGATTTCTCAAGAGCATTTTAAGAAACCTTGCAGCAGCAGGACATGGCCACCTCTGTCCCCTGCTTCACCTGTGGCAGTTTAGGGTTCTATGCCTTGTGGCTGTAGGACAAGGTTGATTGTGTCAGCAATAGGTTAGACAAAGATTTATATGGGATACTTTGGAAAGGGATGGGCCTATCAGGCAGGGGGCTGAACTAGATGACATCCAGTGGTCCCTCCTTTTATGTGATTCTGTATTAATATAAGAGATATCAAGATTCCGCAGCTTTGCAGGACTGACCAGGCAGAGCAGGCAGGAAATTACATTGTACCTATTTTAAATAAGAATTTCCCAAACCTCCTTGTGCCTTCTCTATTGTATTCCACTAAATTGTTTCCAGGAGGCAAACAGATAGGCCAGGAAAGTTGGCCATTCTTCACACAAACGGTTCACTCAGCTAGTGTAACATGTTTTTCCTCTCTTCTCTCATCCTCTCTCTCTGTTTCCATGGTTTGCTTTGCTACTTTCTCTGTTAGGTGTTTTGAGATCTCAGTCTGGCTTCTGTGTGCCCACACTAGGGATGTCAGAGGTAAATGCTAATCATGTTACACTTTTATTAACTACTAGGACTTTTTAGCAGGATCTTTTTAAGAAAAATATTGCTTATTTGTCTCGGAAGACTTAAAAAATTATATGTGTTTATTTTGCCATGTAATGAGCTCTCTGTGTTGAAATAGGGAAGTTGTTTTATGATCAGTTGCATTTATTATTTATCTTCAAATTACCTTTTTGTAGGTAAGCTCTGTGCTCTCTATACTGGGACAGGTGATCCAGCCTTTGAATTTTTCTTTTGCTTCTTTCTGAAGGTTCTGCAGCAGACTTTCAATGTACATCTGGTAAGTTCCTCCTTCTTCATCTATTTGTTTTCCTAGCTCCTCCAGCGTTGGAGAATGAATTTCAGCCTCCACATAGGAGTTCCGAGACTGGGCTACCATGTCATGTGGGACCTGCTCCAAAGAAAGCAGGGAGAATGTAGAGAGAGACACTTATTTTGAGAACTGCCTTTAAAGAGAAATGTTTCCCAGCATGATGAATTATTCTGTATACAAGAAAAATGGATGTACAGTCTATGAAAGAAAATACCCAGTGCTATCTTTTGTTAATCTTGAGAAACAAAGGTATGAGAATGAAATACTCAATCAGTGGGTGCAATTACAACAGGGGCAGGCAAAATACGGCCCACAGACCAGATTGGGCCCACCAGGCACTTTCATCTGGGCTGTGGCACCCACCAATGAATTGTGCCCTACCCAGCCCTTCCGCCTATGAGGGTGGGAGCGAGGCACCCACATATACACCCCCCCAACATACCCTATTGCGCCTCGCTCCCACCCCCGTGGGTGGAAGGGCCCAGCCCAGCCAGAAGGCAGCATCTTGGTGGGATTGCTGCTGCAGCTGCCAGTGACCTGCTCAGCTTCCCCAAGCCCCGCTCACTCCAGGCAGTAGGTAGGAAAGTGGCAGGGGTGGGACTGCAGCATGGGAGGGAAGCCCCATGCACTGAAGCTGGCTGCCTGCGCCACTCCCTGCCACGCTGGTCCAGGGAAGAGGGAAGGCAATCAGCTTCAGCATGCACAGCTTCCTTCCTATGCCATGTGAGTGCATGAGCTGCGCATGCATGACAGGGAGCGGCAAAGGAAGCTGACTCCAGAACATAGGGCTTCCTTCCTGGGCTGCACAAGTGCAGGGGCTGCGCATGCACTGCGGGGAGGGCCAGTGATAGAGATTGCCAGGCAGGGGCTGCACCCCTTGCTGTGATGTGCAGCGCTGGCTGGAACTGCACCCCACTGGGCACCAGCACCAGGCACAAGCAAACTGAGCGCCCCCGCCTGCTGCTGTGCCACACCCCCCCCCAACCACATCCCCCCACACACAATATACAAGACTAAGAATTCATTTTTGAGTTATTATGCCATCACCTCTATATACACTATGCAAACACAAATCATGACAAAAATATTTTTTGTAATAAAATTAAATATGTCATGTAGAGCACATTAATGCCCATGTAGATGTGACCTGGCACTATCTTTAGTGATGGGTCTACCCAGCCACTAGAGGCACATGGCAAGGCTGCAGGGACTTGGCGGTAACTTTAGTGCCAGGTCCCTGCGCATGTAGACACCTTCCAAAAATCATTGAATGTGCATTAGGTTAATGCGCATTAAATTTAGTTGCGCTTAAATGCACACGTAGATGCACCCAGTCTGAATAACATTGCATTTTATAGGATAGAATCACACTGCTGAACTTTATACCAAAGTCCTCATGTTGCTAACAGGAATCCCTTTAATTCAAAGAATATTAACTTGTGTTTTTGGAGTGGGAGGAAATGAACGATATATAGTTCCATTAACACCTGTAAAGTCCTGGGTGATTATAGCTCTGTTACACTGAATAAAGAATAAAGCATGTCAGCTCCCTGTTATTTTTCAGTAAGACACTGGAAGCATAAAACTATTTAAATGTTATCACAACTGATTTTGTTATAAAGTAAAATTGCTTCAAACCGAATACGTTGGTGAAAATTCCTCAAGAGTAATTAGCTAATGTTACCAAAAGTGCCTTAAAAGACTAAAGGAGACTGTCCTGAAAAAATGGGCTAAATAAACTTCAAATGAAACACATTTATAAATAAGTTAAGAACTATCACCTCAAAGCTAAAATGACAGAGAAAATATAAGTGTAAACCATAAATACTTCAGCGGGCTCCATTCTATACCATGGTCCCCATGAATAATGCTGTTTGAGTCCGTCACTCACCTCAAAAAGTTTGTTGCATTCCATTATCATGTGTGCAAGTCCCTGAGTAGCTGCCAAGTTTTCACTGAGATCCTTCTGATCTGGCTTCCCTGTCGCATATTTTTTCTGTATTACTCTGTAATTGAATTCAGTTTCTCAGTTAAGGGAGCTGAACTTTAACATGAAAACAAACATAATGGCAGAATAGCCTCATGGTCAGAGAGAAGCCCTTTTTATTTTACATTTCCCAGAAGAGATCATTCAGACAGAGATCCTTTTTTGATTCTAAAGGAAAAACCATTCACTGAAAATATTGTCAAGCCAGAGGGGTTAAAAATACTGTACACTGTGCACTGTACATTTTGAAGTAGGTCTGTGACAAATAAGATGCCCAGTATTCTGCCTGTCATTTTTTAAAAGGTTAGCAGGGCACTATATGAAGGGAAGGTTTTTTCAACTTGATGTATTTGAATATATTCCAGTTAAGAAGAGAAAAAAAGACAGAGGGGACATTTATATGGGGCCACTACTATTGTGCTTGATCTAGACCCTGTTTAGTTTATATTCACCCTGTGCACTTTATACAATATTAATGTGAGCTGATATGAATGCTGTGTTCCAAGTGGCAGACAGCTGCCAGAGCCTACGTGGATTGAGTCACTGGCAGAGCCAGGATTAAAATTTACTCAACAGTTCCTGATTTCCCAGTCTATGCTTGGTCCTCGTGCCCCCTTAAAAATACTCAGAGTGAAGTTTACTGTTGTATAGGATTTAAGCCATGAACTACTCACTGGGAAGTGTCTACACAAGATGCTTAACTTTGTATTAGCATAGTTTACTGAGAAGTAAACATGTCTACACATGCACATGCTTGCTTCACAGTAAACCTCCTTAATCTGCAAATACAAGTAGCAAATTTACTCGGGATTAGTAATGGCATAGTAGTACTTGTGTAGATGCTTGACCTGGAGCAAAATCTGTTCCCAGTAAGCCATCCACCAGGGGGCAGGACAAAGCTCCCTACCCCTGGGAGCTGCCTGCTGCTAGGGTGGGAGATGTTGGCCAGGGAGATACTTATCTCTCAGCTCCTGCTTTGCCATCGCGATTGGGAAGCAGCAGGCTGGGAGACCCTTATCTCCTAGCCTGAGCTCTGCAGCTGTGGGGCTTGGGCTGGGAGACACCTCCCAGCCTGAGCCCTGCAGTTGCAGTTGCAGGGCTCAGGCTGGGGGGTAAGGGTCTCCCAGCCTGAGCCCCGTGACTGCAGAGCTGATGCTGGGAGCTCCTTGCTGGCAGGGGAAGCTGTTCCGCACCCAGCTCTGAAATTGCAGAACTGGGGCTGGGAACAGTCTGGGAGCTTGTTCCCAGTCCCAACTCAATAATCACAATTATGATCCCAGAACAGGGTCTGGGAGCTCCCTGCAAGGGGACAGTTCCCTGCTCAGCTTGGAGCTAGCTGGGACCTGCCTCTGACCCCCTGCTAGCTGCCCCACTGGCAGATTGGGGCAGGGAACTGGGACCTGCCTCTCCCCTGCAGCTGTTTCCAAGCCCCATGTCCCTGATTGGGGATCCAGGGCCAGGAGCTCCCTGCTGCTGGGACAGAGGAACATTGTCCCCACCCCAGCAACAGGCAGCCCCCCAGGGCCAAGAGACAGATGTCTTCTGGTCCAGTGCTCCCTGCCAGCTCCTGGGCTAGCACCTGGAAGGAGCCTGGAGCTCCCCCGATGGCGGCAGGGGCCCATTGCAGGGCTATAGGGAACTGGGTGACAATCTGCTCCATAATCCCCAGGTGTAGATGCCTGCCCAAAAACCCTTACTCCGGAGTAGTTTACGCCAGTGTAAATTTGGGTCAGAACAAATGCATGCATAGTGACTATAACAGAAATTGTGCGCCTTAAGCTTTTACCAGGCAGATTTTCAGTGCATGTTAAAATCTGCTCTCTTTCCACTATAGTCAATGACAAAAGTTCTACTAGCTTTATGGGAGAAGAATCTGAAGTCCTGTACCTTTAAGAGCCAAAATGATTTACACAAGACTCCTGATGGAATTGGACAGGCTTATTTGATGCTTATTTCAGTGAGGTTTCTGTAGACCTTGAGTTTGTGTAACCTTTTGCCACAGTTGTGCTGGAAAATTTTATCTTTTCTCTGTGCATAAATGCCCTTGTGGGCTTAGGCATGGGCTTTGATCTCTCCGCCCAAACCCTATACATGCTGTAAAAGGTGGCCACGTTTGAAAATCTGATCTTAAATGACTTAAAACATTTTGCATCGTGCTAATATTAAAATTATGTAAGGTTCAAGGGGAAGAGTCAAGCTAGAGACTTACCTTGGTGAGCTTTCTTTCTTGACTATGTTAAGGTGGAAAAGAGAAGGGGCCAGACACACAGCCAGGTTCATAGGAGTCATTTGATTCTCTTCTACTGAGTTGACATCACTTAGGAAGCAGAGCAGAGTCTGCAAAGCCTCCCTGTTTTCATCTGACATCAGCATGATGGCTGCCTGCACTGCCTGAAGCCGCTGCTCTTGGGGAACATCTGAGGAAATCAAGAATCATTCAGTGGCGTTAATCATAAAATCAAATAAGGGCACTGAGCTATAATGAAGCTAACTCACACTGCAGTGTAGATTTTTTTTTAGAAGGAGAAGGGTGAAGGGGATGAAACAACCTAATTTCTGCAGTGCCATTACGTTTTATTTGTTCATTATACATAGCCTATTTAAAAGAATTTACTACCCTTCACTGTGCCTTGTTTGAGAGATTGTTCTCTGAGCAGGAAACTGTACTTCATTTAGAGTTTATGGTGTGAGAACAGTACTTTGTGCCATAACCTTAAATGCAATTTTCTGTGATTTTTCTGTCCCTCAGGAGGGAAGTTCAGAAAGCATTAGGAAAGCTTGGGAAATGCTTGCACTTATGTCCAGAACCAAAGAAGAGTTTAATGAAAGTGGAAATGGATATGCTTAAGCAGCATCTTGGACAGAATCATTTCTAAAGCTACCATGAGTTTCTTCAGTTTGGATTCAGAGAACTCTCCTGGGTATCAATATACTCCCTGTAACCCTGTGAAAGAACAGCAAAAGCAGCTTTACTGCAGGTGCAATAGCAAGCTTTAAAGTTAAGTTCTGGCTGTTAGAAGGCTCCTGAAAACACTATTTTAAAAGCTTTCGAACAAGAATGGCAAAGTGTCTCTAGCACACCCCTTGTTTTCCAGAGGCAACAGACACAGAGACCTTCAGAAAAATAAGAGCAGTCTTAGAGAAGCCCAAGTGCTGTAACCCCCCAGCCTTTCCCGTACTCTCAAGAGTCATGACTGTGTTCTGGTGCATAGTGAAAGGAACAGCACAGCTAACCTTTAGCTACCTTGGAGCTTTGGGTTAGTCGAGTGACATATATCTTTGGTATGCCACACATAATGCCTTCATATGCAAAATTCTGAATCATCATATACCCACTCCTGCAATCACAGAAAATCAACTATTTGGGATACATCAGCAGGTTCCTAACAGATACTCACTGCCCCGTAAGTAGGCAGGAATGCCTCAAAGTCCTTGACAGTAAGTTATAAGGAAAAAAATCCTTCCCAGGACACTTGAGGCACCTGTGCTGCAGGTTGGCCTCCCCTGGCTAAAGCTTCTTAGCCTTACTTTGCAGTGGGATTTATTAATCCTCATATGTTCTGCATAGGGAGGACTACCTGCCATTTCCACAGACTGGGGCATTTCCATAGCTTCAAGAAAGCAGGAAGAAGGCTTCTGTATAAAATGAATACATAAACTGAATACTGTAACAACTTGCATTCTTAAAACTTTCATCTGTGCGCTGTATTAGAGCATTATGGGTTCATATCTACTTACAGATACATCTGACTTCCACAAAACAAAAACTCCTATCAACACAACAAAGATATGTTTCCTTTGCTGTCTTATATGAGTTCCCACACTCCAGGATTAGATGCATGTTTTAGAGACTTATGCACTGAGATGTGACACGTCACTTGCCTTCCCTCCTGCGTTAATACAGGCAAATTCCTTGTTTACAGGAAACAATGATTAAAACACATTTTTATCAGAGAGGCATTAAGAGCACATAATGTACGGCTCTAAAATCCTTTTGACTTGGCTTATTTGAGGTTGTGATTTTAATGGTGTAAATAATTCCTTGTGAAGTTTATAAGGCACTCTGAAATGTGAGGTGGGCAGCACTTTAATTAGAGCAACTCACTTCTACCAAGATGTCTAGAATGGACAAGTCAGAAATGTGGAGACCACAACAGAAAATAAAGCCTTTCAGATTATTTATTTTCTTGATGTTCCTCTGCCTCCTGTCTTTCCTGTATGTTTCCTTTGGATTGTAAAACAGATTATGAAAGCTGCTGAAGGGATTTGGACACCTAGTTTTCATGAGTTTAGGTGCAGCAGTTACTTAGACAGCTTTCAAAATCTCAACCCAAGCTGTTGAGGGCAGAGACTGTCTTTTCTGACCCCTCTGAAGTGACAAGAAAGAATCAGGCTCACTATGGAAACTCAGTACCATGCTGTTGTTGTTATTAATGATAGCCTTACTTACATTGATAGATGTGTAAGAAGGTTTCTCCTAGTTTGCTGGTGAGAAGAGGTTCTGGCAAGTCTCTGAAGAACTGCTTTACCATATCTGCCACATCATAGGCTGACTGGTCTTCATACCTGACATTCTCGGGAGAGCTCTCATTCATCTGACGCAGGGCCTGGATTCGGGATTTCACGCCTGATTTTCGAAACAGGCCCACCTAAAACAGGTATCACAGGTTGATTAAACAGGTGATTTATTTTTAAAATACACTAAATATTTCTTACTGGAGGCTCTGGATTTCCGTGAAGTTGTATTAACTTGTTTTATGATAGATTAGAGCAAGAGAAAGATTTCATACAAATATTAGTTCTTAAGTTAATGAAAATACCAACAAACTTTACCACCGGAAAAATCACAAATGTACACTTGTAGTAGGACTATAATACTCAGAATTCTTCCCATCTATACCAAATCACATGCAAAACCACCAGAATATATGTAGGTATGATGTTACTTAACGATTATGGGCCAAAGTCTTACCTAGTACAAATCATTGTACTTCACTTGATTTCAGTGGAGCTACAAAGATTTGTCTTAGCTGAGCATTTGCTGGTTATTCAGCTACGTATTTTAAGGATTAACAAGAAAATATTATCTTTATAGCTATGTAGCATGATCTGTGGCAAAAGATAAGCACAGCATAGCGGGATTTTAATTCCAAGACTTTAAATCTGTTTTTCCCCTTTCTGTTTCCTGCTTCCGAATGTTCTTTCAAATTCCCCTGAAAATCCCAGTAGTTAAAAAGCAGCAGCTGCAGAGGGATTATTTGTATAGAGTCTCTAAAACACATTTTATCTTGTTTGCTTTCTAATCTGAAGGAAATGGTAATTTTTAATGAGATTGTCAGTGCCTTCACAAAAATGCTGCCCTTTTACAGTAGTTCTCATAAGTGGAATTCCCCTGAGGTGCATTTCTGAGCATGAACTACATTATTTATTCCCAAGTCGTCTTATGGTATTTCATTTGGGAAGTGTTTATATTGTTTTTCTTCAGTTTACAGGGAGAAAGGTGAAATACTGACAATGACCTATAAAAAGAATAAAGTGGACATATTTCTGACTTTAAATTATAGATTTGAATTTTTCTTGTCTGCAGTGTATAGCTAGCTGTCTGTCTTGTTAACTTTGAGCAAGGTTACTGGGCTGAATATTCCACCAAAACAAAATGTAAAAGCGAAGAAATATGCAATTAAGTCATACAACACCCACCTGCTCACTGTTTCCAGTCCCTAGGCCCTTTACAACCATCCTCTTTTGGAACAAGCAGTGGACACTTAAACTCCATTTTACTGGCTATATATCTATGACTTGATTAATACGGGGGTAACCAAGTTTCCTTATGTTACACTGTAAGAATTTCTCTGCAGTGTGTATGGTTAGTTTGGAAGTGAGATATAGTGTTAGGTTACAAAGAGTGGCTGCAAGGGGGGAGGGAAAATTATGTAAATGTGTTATTTCTTTGTTGTTTGTAATCTAAATTCGTTTATAAAAACGACAGAACTGAAATCAGCAGTGCGCGCCTGGTGGTGAATTGCATTTCTATTCAGAGGGTAAAGCAGTCTTTAGTTCTGATTGGAAATATCCGAGTCTTTTAATCTGATTTCTCCATCTTTTCTGGTCTCCCCTTTAAATGTTTTCACCTTCTTGTAATTCAAATGCCCAAGACGCATGGCTGTCATTGCTTCTATTCAAAACAAAACCATGGTGTACAAACGTAAGAGCAAACCCTGGCGTCTGGCTTTGTTACAATCTGTCCTTCTAGCATAAACAACCTTTAAAAACTCACAGCTATATTAGACTCAAAGGTCAGACATCAAATTTCATCAAAACAGTCTTCTGCTGCATGACATCCTGTTACTGGTAATCTCTATTACTGTTTAATGATGTTTATCTGAATTCCTATTTCCTTTTATTTGCAAAAAAAAAAAAAAAAAAAAAAAAAAAAAAAAAAAAAAAAAAAAGAGCTTAATTAACAGAGAGAAGTTAGGTCTTGGCTCTCTGCTACCATATTAGATGTTCTTCCTGTAACTATTGGTGGCCTAGAAACCCAGTGAAACCAAAGGATCTGCCAGAGGTTAATTTGGCCCATTCTTCTCTGCTTTTCTCTTGGCTTGCTTTGTGGCCAGCCTATTCTGTTAGTGTACTGTTGATGTGTGATGGAAATAAAAGCTCAGCCAACAGCAAAAGATACAGAGCCTATTACCACACAGGTTTGTATCTGAATAATAATGTATATAATAGTCATGATCTCTCACTGTGCCTCAGACCACTCACAGCTACCCTGAGTGCCCGGGGCCACATTTAATAATGTAAAACAGCTCTAATAAGTCTGTTCAGTGGCAATTCTGGAAGTGCAGGGTTCTAGTCCACCTCCCACCACACACACAACAATACCTTAAATGAGCTATGTACTAGGAGAGGTTGCTTAGACCTCTAGAGTCCAGTGGTCGGGCATTAGCAGATTTCAAATTAAACCTGGGAAGGAAGAATGGGTGTCAAGTGCAGAAACTGAATTACCTGAATGTTTTCAATCCCGAGTCTGGCTTAGGTGAAAGTCTCTGCACAAATCTGTACATGTTTGGACTCTGGAAGCACTAAAGTTAAACCCCTCTCATCCCTTATCTTGTATTCACCCTTCCCCAATTCTAGCTTTTAGATGAATAAAGCGTGCCCTATAGCTTCAACACTTGACAACGTAAAAATATGCTCAGTGTAAGGCAAAGCCTTGCCTGAGATTAACAAGAGATGCTCTTTCTGACTGCCTGAATTATCTCCATCACCTTTTACTTTTTCTGATCTCTCTCTGCTTTTTGTTTTTCTCTTTTCTCTATTTTCTTCTCTTGCTATTCCTCTGTTTTCTCCCATCATCCCCATCTGCTTTCTATTTTTCTCTTTCTTCCCTTGCCATTTCTTTCACTTTTTCTTCTCCCTGTACCTACACATTTCCTTCCTCCAAATCCATTTCTCAATCCATCCCTTTTCTCTTCTCTATTGCTGGTACCCTGTTTTCCCCTCGATATACATACCCAGACACATGGTGATAGGCACTAAATGAGAACTTAGATATACACTGAGGTGTGCATGATTTCCTCTGTCTCTGTCCATTCCCACTGAAAATGAGGATACCTTTATTAGATTATTCCCACCATAGCAGATTCACTCTTGCCCTAGTCATAATGCTACCAAAATGCAGAGCAAAATGGAAGACCCAGAAACAAGCCCTATCATGCTGGAGCTAATATACTGCTCCTACTACACTGGCAGGTAAGGAGCAAGAGCACAACTGGGAAAGCACTGATGCACAAAATGTTGAACTACTGTGCCTGAGCTCTTTAGCCACATTATAGCCTATCAGAATTTAAATAAGTCCTTGGAAAGGATTTTATACCCTGATGTTAACAATAGGAGGGCACTGGAAATGAAGACTCTTGAGGTCATGCCTCCCTGATATTCCTGAAATATTTATCCCTGTCTTAGGGGAAGGGCAGTGAAAGTATAACAGCTATCTCCCTGTACAGTCACTTAATACACACAACAAAAGGGAACTTTAGAGCATGAGATACTTTGGACATGATGAGCTACTGTTCCTATTGGCCAATGGGACTTGGAACACTTTATAATGAAACTTTGTAATGACCTAGGCATGGCACACCTGCTACACTAATTATATCTGGGTAGGTCTGGCTTTGTCTGCCGAAGAGCTGGAAGCTGCTCGAATGCAGTCTTGGAAGCTTGGAATAGTTTACTGGGCTTCCTCTCTCAAACCTTTTCTGGACTTCACTTTTTTTGTAAATAAAGTACCATAAGTCTCTAAACCCAATAACGTGAGATGCTGTATGCCTTCAACCCTCATTGACATCAGAGGGAGATGGTTCCTGCCTGGATCCAGCAAACTGTCAAGGAAATCCAATTATGCTTGTTGAGATAATCTGCTGTGTATAGAACAATCAGTACAATGCTAGTATCTGCAATAATTTAACAAATGAGTAATGCCAGGAGCAACCAATCACATAGGCCATGCTAGAAGTGACTTCAAGAGTAACTCAACTGCTATCCAAGACACCTATCACTTTTGAAGGGCTTCAGAATGACCTGGCAGAAATGTGGATGGTAAATTAAAAAAATACTTAAAATGCAGTAAAAGCATTTCAACTTTCTCATAACATTTGACATGGTGTAGCAAGACAAGTCACTAGACAGTGCTTTAAAATCCCTTTGAAATTTAGCTATGAATAAATGTACCAGCCATCTCCATCATCCCATTGAAATAAAGTCCTTACCTGATCTAGACAATTGCTGCGTAAGTAGCGCAAGGCTTGCTGTATACTTTGAGGAAGTGGCTGCCCTGTCCTCTGGACATGGACTATCAAAGGCACGCCAAAGACATTTTTGTCCTTGTAGTCCGGAACTTTCATCCTCTTCATGAACTTTGGCACAGACCTGAAATTCATGCAAGCACTCAGCATTAAGCTATAAGAATACTCAACAAAATCCTACTGGGTAACTGCTAAGGGAAACCAGAAACTGTGCAGATGACCTTTTTCAAATATTAATAGTAAAGAAAAAGTTATCTTTTTAATTCTTGATAGCTTCAAAGCCTCTATATGGAACCTTTAAACCTTATACATATTATGATCATGACAATCTTAACCAGCAAATTGCCTTTTGCTACTAGATGTAGTGCAACAATTTGTTCTAACAAGAAATAACCCCGGCACAGCTGTCATTCTTTTGAAACCTCTTTAAAAATGTCTGATGTAGACTCAAAGGAAAAGTACAACAGGGTGTAGTGAAAGATGTATCTGAAAGAATGCACCGTGCATTTATTTAAGATGTTGAATTATTTTTATATCATTTTTGCAATTTAGCATTATGTTGCCCAATACTTTACAGTGAGAATTACTGTGAAAAAAACAGTATGTGGCAAATTCATTCTGGGTGTAACTCAACTGATTTCTAGTCAGGTAAATTAGGTGAACTTTGTGTGCTTCCTTTCTTCAATAAATGCAGGTGAAAAAGAGAAGAGGCCAGATTCCTTTTAGAGTCATGACTTCAGTGGTGTTAAAAATGGATGAATATGGCCTAAGGTTTTCTACTGAGAGAGAGAAATAAACTTTGAATTAACTGACTCCTTGGAGGAACACAAGGGACAACTCCACACATATTTTAAAATGCCCATTTGTCTATAAATCCTTAGAGAACAATTACATGAACACATACAAAAAGAAAGCCAGGAGACATTGCTACTGAGAGCAGGACAGCAGGACCCCCAAACTGGCAGGTTTAACACCAATTCCTTCAGTGGCCTTGAGTTAAGACATCTCTTGTCTCTGTTTTGCCATCTGTAAATCTAGAAATATCTCAATAACTTTACCTACCACACAGAGGAGATTGTCAGGATTACTTAACGTTGCTGAAGTTCAGATCACTACAGAAGTGTAACGTGTTATTATTTTTGCACTAAAGTTTATCACATACTTAGAAATCTCTATTTAGTTACTACTTCTAATATTTTACTTAAATGTAAAGACAAAAAAAATTACATCATGCGCCAGCAACAGCTATTTCTTTTCAAATCACAAAATTAATTATAAGGAAACAATTTTTTTTTCTTTATAATCATTCACTTCTACTCTTGTTCATTTCTCTGAGACTTGACTGCTATCAGCTGTATGGTTGTTAGAACAGAGTCAGACTTCTAGGTTCTATTTCTGGTTTTTGCCACTGACTCACTGCCTAACTATAGACCAAAATGTAGTTTCCAATTCTTAGATGAAAGTAAATTGTTTTTCCTAATTACATTATTATTAAAGTTTCAGCTACAGTAACAAAATTAGGGGAAACAATTTACTTCTAAATATATTTGCTTGGTGACTTCTATGGTACTTACCAGGTCCAGCCATGTTTGTTTGACATAGAGTATTTTTCCATGATGGCAGTGAGGCGAAGCAGTGAGAATTTTTGCAGTAGATTCAGTTGGACTGCTGACTGATTGCTGATTTGTAGAGATGCTATGGACTGGCTCATACTATGAGAAATTTGGAAACTATTCCATCGTAATCGCCTTTTGCAAAAGAGAAGAAAAGGAAATCAACGTCAGCCGCCATAATTAGGGCAAATGTCATGATAAGGTTTTAGAGTTAGGCAATTCTTTTTTTTGTTGACTAATTGTGTGTTTATAGAAAAGTTTTGACTCAGCCCAAACAAGTCTCTGATAGTGGATTTCAGAAATGTTAAATGTTAAAACAAAGTATTTGCAGTTTTCAGATTAGATTGACAAAGAGACTTAGGTTCCATTTACAAGATCAAGGAGGTGATGCTGCCCCAATATACCATGAGGACCACAAGTGAAGGCACTTGTTCAGCTCACCTCTTAGCCCAATTCCTAGCAAAGATTTCAACCCTTCAGAACAGATAACAACTGGGTTAAAGGTTATTTTAAGATCTCAATCTCTTTGGTAGCATCTGTTCCCTGTGTTATAAAATACTGAAATATTTACGAAAACAGACGGGAACCCAGGTCTTGGGTACTCCATGTACTGCCTTAACTGTATGGAGTTGGGATGAGAGCAAATACATTACAGCTAGCTTGAATATCTCTACAGCACTGCTTTGTACCATGCACATGCTTTGTACACCCTTAGGCATGTGTTTACTTTATGAATAGTGGCATTGATTTCAGTGGTACTTGTCATGGTAGTAAGCAATAGGCTTTGTAGTAAGAGCTTGCAGTATAGAGTCATTTGTTTGCAAATATTTCAAAACACCCAGAGACAAATTTTACTCTTAGTTACAGGAGCATAAATCCAGAGAAATTCAGCTGACGCTGGAATTCAAGTGATAACATAAGAGTGCCTATAAATAATCAAAACTTCCTGAGAAAAGATGCAGCTGTGCTGAAGCCCACAGTTTCTTTCCCTCTGTGACCAGTTATTTTTATGCTCTATGTTTAATAAGCAGTTGCCAGGGATTCATTTCAGATTCTGTAGAGTGCATAAAGAGAACTTTTCTTTCAAATATATTGTTCTGTCTCCTGGGAGGAACCTCTCCTGTGTGAACTGTTTTACTGAATAATAACTGCATTCCCTATTTTGTGGGCCATACGAAGGCTGCCTAACTTCAGCGTTCCTTAGTAAGACACCAAGTGCTTAGCAACCCATGATGCTTTTACGTGCCATATGTAGTATTTGTTCTGCATTGTCCTACATTTATAATTGCACTTTTGTGATGATTCAGGTATCAAGGATGTCACTGGGATAAAACGTGTACAACTTGTCAGAGCTATGTTAATTCCTCTGTAATTCAACAAGAGATAACTGTGAAGTGCCCAGCTAGATGCAAATGAAAATCAAGGTATCTCAAAACTTGAATTTTGAATGGAGTCCAAGGCTGCAAAGCAGCATAATGGACTTCAGAGATTTCTGTTAGGTGTAAAAACCAAAAATATAAATTATATCAACAACTGCATCAAGATGAGCAGGGGCGTGTGCTTGCAGTGGCACAAATAGTAGCAGTACAAATTTGTGCCACTACTTTGTGCTGCAGCATATGCTCCTGCGTGTGTGCTTTGTTGCGGGACACATTGGCCCTGCTGTGGGCAAACGGCCCTTGCCTAACTCTTCTTGGCTCCCAGTGTGCTGGAGCAATCAGGGCACAAACAGAGCATCTCACTGGAGGATTGAGCCTCAGTTTGTTCCAGCACACGCTACTGTAGGTGCACTGTGCCCCATTTTTTCCCTGGTGCTTTTTTGGCTACTGGGAAATCCTGGTAGGAAATTTTGCCCCTGTGTTGCAAATCTATAGCACAGGGCAAGTTTTAACATTCCACATGTGTGGTCTGTGGCTCCACAAGCCGCACATCCTTCTTCATATGGACGCAGCCAAAGTGGGTACATAGGTGCCATTGACAATAGGGTAGTGGACACCTGGCTTAACCTGAAGACCCTTGCTTACCAACCACATTTGAACATCTCCCATTCCTAACACTGGATCTTCATGAAGACCCACAATCAAGCTTATGCCCTTCTGGTCCAGCAGAACCTGCATGAGGTTCAATAAAGCCAAGTGCAAGGTCCTGCACTTAGGACGGAAAAATCCCATGCACCAGTACAGGCTGGGTCCGACTGGCTAGGCAGCAGCCCTAGAAAAGGACCTGGGATTACAGTGGATAATAAACTGAATATAAGCCAACAGCATACCCTTGGTGCCAAGATGGCTAAAATCATACTGGGCTGAATTAGGAGCGTTGTCAGCTGGTAAATTCTACTTAAGAATAGATGGCCACGCTGTTAACTTAAAGACTATAAACTTATGCATGACTGTACATGCAAGCTGCTGTGCATAAATTAAGCCACCTCTCCAGAGTTAAACTTCTATGCCTGGAAGCTGTACCATCAAGGATGTTATATTTTGCTACGTGTGCAGGGTCCTAAATGGAAAGTAAAGTAGATTGCATGGCATTACAAGCCTGCTAACTAGCTTGAGGGCAATATAACTGGCTTTCGCTCAGCTCACACAAACTGCTATGAGCACATGGTTACACTGTTTCCAGCTGAGGAGGCAGACTGCCTGGAACAGCAGTGTTCTTGATGCAGTGCTGCCAGGCATGGCAAGTTTATCCCATGGACATGATTACAGGATCATAGGAAACTGGGGCTGGAAGGGACCACACAACCTCTTCTAATCTAGCCCCCTGCTCAAGGCAGGATCATCCCTGACTAAACAATCCCAGCCAGGTGTCTGTCTAACCTGTGAGATTCCACAACTTCTCCAAGTAGCCTGTTCCAGTGCTTGACGACTATCATAGATAGAAAGTTCCTCCAAATCTTCAATCTAAATTTACGCTACTGCAGCTTGAGGCCATTTCTCCTAGTCCTGTCTCCTAGAGGCACAGAGAAAAGCCCATCTCCAGCTCTCCAGAATTGCTCTTCAGGTATACATAGACTGTTATAAAGTCTCCAATCAGTCTTACCTTCTCTAGATTAAATTACCCTAGTTCTTTCAGCCTTTTTTTTTTTATAAGTCTTGTCTCTCAGGCTCCTGATCCAAACTGTCCACATCTTCCTTGAAGTGTGGGGCCTGAAACTGGATACAGTATCGCAGGTGAAGCCTCACCAGTGCTGAATAGAGTAGAAGAGTCACTTCCCTTGATTTGCGAGTGATATTTCTGTTAATACAACCCAATATGCTGTTGGCTTTTTTGGCAACAAGAGCACACTGTTGGCTCATATTCAGCTTATGGTCCACCATAACTCCTAGGTTCTTTGTTGTACTGCAGCCTAGCCAGTTATTCTCTGGCCTGTGCATGAAATTATTCTGTCCCACGTGCAAGATTTGGCACTTGTCCTTTTAAAATCATATCTGAGTGAAGACATGAACATTTAACAGAACTAAATAATTTACAGAGGAAAAAGAGTATTCTTGTTTACTTATGCTCTTGTATTCTTTACTTTTTATACCAGGACTCCTCTTCTATACCAGGATACCCTTCCTCTAAAAGTCTCTCTTCCATCTAACTGAGCCTTGCTTCACATTTAGTAACATAAGAAAGGCAGCGTGATTGTGACCCCCAACAGCTGCTCATGGTCCGCAGCTTGAGAGCTCCTCGCTTATTATTTTGTAATAACTGTTTTGTATAAACAATTAATCATGGCAAATACATGGGATTATCTATGGAAATCTGCTACCAACCTGCTTGGCCGGGTGAGAGATGCTCCCACACCAGAGTCTCTCCTATCCCTGACACCAGTAGCTTCTGACTCATTGAGGGAAGTTCCATCTCTATCCATGTCACTCGGTGTAGTCCGACCATCAGAAACAGAGTTTCCTTCAAAGTCCAATGTGATCTGGGTAGTTGACTGGAATGGTAATGATGTAGATTTCCCAACAGACAAATCATTATTTGGCATATCTGGCAGTACATTTTTTGACCAATGGTCAACAACCTCTTGAAGTCCATTGACATGCTGCAAAATGTCATCTAAATGAGGGAAAAGCTCATCTTTTTCCAAGTCCAAAAGGTCTCCAGTGCTGGCATACAAATGGGAACCTGGCACATTGTCATAAATACTAACTCTGCTCTCCTTAGGACAGCAAGTTATCAATCTGGCCTCTCTAGGAGTAGAGCACTTCTGTTTGCCCAGAGAGATGCTGCCTGTTCTCCAGTTAACATTGTTACCATTGTCTGTAGGTGAAAGACTTTCAATAGAAAGTGCCTTTGGAAAAGTTCCAGGTTTATGGTCTTTGGGAATATGTACCACCAGATCCTCTTGGGAGTGAAATTCATTTTTATGATTTTGGCCTACTACTTGTTTCAGGGTTGCTCCTGCAAGGACATCCAAGTCCTCCAGATACATACCACCTCTCTTGTTTGTTTCCTGACATTTGCGTTCCTTTAAACATGGTGTACTTACTCCGCTGCTGCTGTTTTCTGACTGACTACTGTCACTGCTGGATTTGCCAGAGAAGGAAAGTCCTGTTTTGACTGTCTCCTGTGCTAAATTTTGGAGATCTCCATTTACTATCTCTACACAGTGCAAGTCCTTCAAGGATTTTGGCTCATACTGAAGAACAGGTCCACTTATATCTAAAACACCAGTTTTTCCTGAGCCTCTTAATTTTCCATGTGTTCCTTTAGCTTTTAATGTCTCCATACGCTTTAGAAAGGTTTTGGCTCTGGTTCGTGTTGGTTTTTCATTCTTAATGTTCAAGGAGTATTTTATGATGTCTTTTGGATCCTGGGTACTGATGACTGAAGAGGAGTCATGCATATGTGTGCTTTCTACCTCCTGCTCTCCTGAGCTGTCATGTACCTCCCTGATAGTGCTGCTGATGCCAGATGGACTCCTGTTGTCACTTCCCCCACTGCTCTCGCTGTGAATAGATGAGACGTCAGGCTCACTCAGGTCTGTAAGCACACTTTCACTGCTTGTGGTGTTTTTCATTTTAATGTCCCCTGAAGATCCATGTCTACCTGATCGGTGAAGCAAGGCATCAATATCATCCACCCGAGACCATCTTCTGCTGGTTCTTTGGAAAGTCCATTTATTACTGATAGCACAGAGGTCTTCTTCATCTGAATCGTCACTCTGCAAAATAGCATACTGCACTTTGTTAGAGGCAGAACTTCTCTTTTCTTTTATTCTTTTCTGCTTATTTATTCATTTACTTACTTATTTATTCAATTTATATGCCACCCTTCCCTACAAAAGCTCAGGGCAGCTTACAGCAAGAAAACAGAATAACTTAAAAATAAGAGAGTGACTAGAGGATCAAATAGTTTAAAAGGAAACTAGAACATCAGGATAAAACAGAGAACTTGCTGAACAGCATCTCGGTTTAGTTTAGATTGGTGAATGCCTGACCAAAGAGGAAGTCCTTACTGTGCTACCAAAAAATGACCAGGCTTGAGCTCTAGTCAGCCTCAAGAGGGAGAGACTTCCAGTGAATATCCTTTTATTCTAGTCTTTTTCATTTCACAAGAAATTCTCAGAAATTAATATACTATCAAACAATAAATAAAGCCTTGACCTTGCATTATAGAACTCCTGGGTAAATTGCTGTATCCAGCTAGAACCTACTGACTTCAATGGGGCAGTCTGCCTGCCCTTACACAAGAAAGGAATGAAGCATAATAAAGCAGTTTCTGATTTCTGAAGATGGAAATACTAGCTAGTATCCATTGGGTGTGTCTACATGTGCAATTAATGTGGACCAGTGAACTCCGGAGTTTTTTTGCTCTCAGGCACACCATTTGAACGTGTGCCCGGGAGCAAAAAAACTCCAGAGTAAGTTGCTCTGGAGTTGATTCATGCGCACCGCCTGGAGCCTGGTCAGAGCAGTTCAGGCTAGCAGGGGACTCAGGGGATCAGTCTGCCAGCCCAGGGTTGCTTCAACCAGGCTCTATGTGCTGCAGAGGGACTGGCCAGGGCACAGGGTGCCTTAGTGTAGGGGCTCTGCAGCATGGGGAGACAGGGGAGCAGCCTTGGGCTGGTTGATCCTCTGTCTCCCCATGCTGGGAGCAGCTGGCTGGGGCACAGGGTGCCTCAGCCCTGGGATTGGATGCTGGCTAGCCCTGGTCTGAGGCACCCTGCTCCAGCCAGTTGGGCCAATGTCTACATATGCACTGTTCTGCACAAAGAAACTCTGCAGCAGAGTTGTGCTTGTATTTTACAAGACTATCCTGCTGTGGAGCTTATTAGTTTCATGCGCCCTAAAGGGGTGCATGTGTAGATGATGAGACATTTACTGCACAGGTAATTGGTCTGTTGTGCAGTAAATGTGTCATGTAGACACGCCCAATATTACCAACTTTCCAGGGGTGGGGTTAAGGTTAAAAACTGTGATGTGCTTCATTGCTACAGCAGTTAGGCCTATATAACTGCCTATATAACTGCAACAGGCCTATATGACTCTAATAAAACCTAGCAAGCCATGTATGTTAACTTCTAACAAGATTCAATTTTCAGTTAAACTTACTTGTTTGAATATACAATATATACATAGATATATATCCACAATAACTAAAATAACTGTCAAAATAATATTTGGAAATAAAAAATGCCAGCACCATAAACTAATCCACAGATCTGTAAACATGTAAAATAAAATAAAAAGCTGCAAAACTGAATCTGGCCTCTTTCTAATCTGTTTCCTCAAACAAAAATGACATACTTTTTGCAGGGACCAGGTAGTCCTTTCTGTTTGGCTCATTTCTCAGTAAGCAGCTGATCCAGAACCTGTTGATCCTAATGAGAATCCTTGCATCAGCTTGGTGCCAGGTCCATACTCAGCTATTGTTGCACATTTGATTTAATGTAGATCATACTAAGTTCACCTAGCTGACATCCAAAGAGCCTCTCTCATTCCTGAAAGCAGCAGTACAGCAGTAAAATTTGACAGACTGTCAAACTAAAGCAAGGTACTAAACTAAACAGGCCATTTTGAGACTGGAAAACTTCTCAATTTAAAAATGCATTACTAGCACTATTTGCATATGCAGCTTTGAGAATAAAGTTAAACTATCTTCCATAGGACTGGACTGCAACTGCTGCAATCTAATTAAAAATGTAAAACAATTTATGAAGTAAAAGTAAAGCTTGAAGGCTGTAGATTACAATGAAATCAGTACCATTTTCAGATCACCTCAACATAAATTTATAGTTGCAAACTTTTGCCAGTGTGTTCCTTAAAATTTGCCATGCTCACTTTATATCTTGTCCAATTTGTAAAATAAACCATTGCCACACAACCAAAAAAACCCCTAGTTTTTGCTTGTTTCTGAATTATTTCTAACATGCAGAACCCAGTTGTTCAGAAGTCAATGCAAGTTCACTGAAACAAATGCCTTCATTCTGCTGTTAGCTATAGAAAATAATTAAACAGCTTAGAAAAGGCACCAAGAAAAGAGCTCGATGTGCCTTAACCCTGCTGTAGTCATGGGTGCCTATATACGGGCTCTGACACATTCCAATTAGAACGCATTGGAGAAGACTTGATTAATCGAGTGTGCTGGAGTGTTCTAATTAGAACACTCCAACATGCTGCAGCATTGCATGCATTCAGAGCCCCCTATTTCAAAATGTGATGGGGGTGCTCTAACTAAAACTCATTGAATGAGCTTTAGTTAAAGCACCCCCACCACCATTTTGGAATGTAGAAGACTAAATACACATGATGTGGTGGCGTTTTTATTAGAGCGGCTGCCTGGGAGTTGCTGCAATTAAACCCTCCCCTCCCCATCCCATCCCACCCCACCCCAGAGCACATGTATAGGCATAGTGGAACACATGATAGCACTGCCTCCTGGGTCTGAGGACAACATGATGCTGAAGGGAGTGTGTGGGGAGGAGGACTGCAAACAATTGAGGCACTCTGTACTTCTAAATATTTTAACAATAGCTTCACATATAAAGCATCCAACTGTTGATGTCTTCATCAACAAACAATAACAAACACTGTAAACACAGTGTTGACATAACAAGAGATCCTGAGGCAGTTTCTCAATGGATATAAATCACCATAGGTCCATTGCAGTTACTGTAGATATGACAATGTACACCTGCTGGGGAACTAGCCCTCTTTTTTTCTTAAAACTCAAACTAATGAAACTAACCAACAAAGTGTGAACAATGCCGAGATCAGGCAGGGAGAGGCAGTGTGAGAGGGGAGGGGAGGAAACATGGAGCCAGCAGCAGTTCTATACAAAACTTCTTTTGGAGGAAAAAAGTTTTAAGCTGCTTTTGAAAAACAGGTGGAGATCAACTGATATGGATAGTGGCAGGGAAACATTCTGCACTCTGCCACCAGAAAGGTAGGATTGCTTCCTGGAATGGATCAGAAAATGCTCTTATGTTTGCTGTTAGAGTGATGTTGCAGCCATGATGACCCAGGCAAGAGGCAAAGATTTCTTAGTGTGATATCTTTTATTGAACCAACTGCATAGTTGGGGTAAAGCTAGACAAGTTTGTGAATACAAGACAATCTTCTTCAGGTCTGAGAAATCTCAGAGAAATCTGAAACCTGAGAAATCTTAGACCTGTAGAATGCTCAGAACCGAAGAAGAATGTCTTGTCTTTGAAAGCTTGTCTAACTTTATCCAAATGATGCAGTTGGTCCAATAAAAGATCTCACCCTAAGAAATCCTTGTCTTATGTCTAAAGAATTTCCAGGGAAATTGAGATTTTCCATGGAAAAATATTTTGATTCCCCTTCCTCCACCCTCCACCTCCCCCCAAAAGCCATAACCCAAACATTATGCTCCTGAAATGCTGCCAGGGGAACTTCCACATGCTGGCCTCTGGTTGGATAGCTCCCATACAGCCCTATGACCTCACCTCTAGGCAATGGGAGGGGATGTATCATCACACAGTATTAAGAAAAGATTTTCTATGAGACAATGTGATGACACTGTAACCGATCCAAAAGGAATTTTGGACACCGTAAGCATCCTGAATGTCACAGTGTTCTGGTAGTCATCAGACTTCCCTGACAGAATACAGATAATTCTAAGAACTGCAATTATAAGACTGCTAGCAGTCATGCTAACTCATGCAAGTTATGGCAATATTAATACTTGTCTATTACGAAGAGGTCTAAGAACATTTCATTTCATGCAGACTGAGTAGACATCTGATTAAACTGAACTTGAGTCTCTGCTGACCCAGGCTGAGTGACTTTGTAGGTAAAGACTTTGGAACCATTACTAGTGTAATCCCTTCAGTCCTCCACTCCCTCTGCCTCAGGTATTTAAGTTTAAAAAAGGAAACTGATTGACATATAGGAGCTTCCTGGCTTATGGAACAATCACCAGCATGTTATGAACTTTTCTTATTATTATGAAATAGAAAACAACTTGTTCTTTTAAAACTGACCTGTCAACATTCCCCTCAACATCTAAATACAAGGATTTGACTTAACAGATGGACATAAAAATGTACATAGTACTTCTCTTCTAGTTCTCAAACATCTACTTGCATTGTCAGTTCCCAGTCTGATGCAGTATCCCAGAATGCACTGAATTAGTCATGTCAATTAAACTGCTGTGGCCTGCCAAAATGCTGGTTTGTTGCCACTCTTATTATCTTAACAATTACGCAAGGGTTTATATTATTTTATACCCTTTGGAGTGTCTGTGGCTTGATCTTTATTGAGTTAGACCCTAATTCCTGCCACAAATGGGTACACTTGAGGGCTCAGAACATTGTTTCTGATATCCTCTGATCTTCATCTTTTCACACAACTTCCATTATCACTTTCCTGCTCCAGTCATTGAACAAGTAATAAAGATATTATCGGGCACATTCAGGGAGTCCTGTAAAGCCATTAAGAATGGTAAAAAGGAACGGGGCAGGTTTCTTTAAGAGTTACCGACAGCATTTGTCAAAGAGTCAGAGGAGCTTTAGACACAGAGATCCCTCAAAGTTGATTTAAACTAGCAAAAGTATTTTCCTCAAACAGAAACAGATGCCAACAAAATGCAGAATAGAACATTTATTTTTAGTGGAATTGTGCCACATTTTTCCAGCTGGGGACAGGAACGTACATGATTCCACAGCTGCAGGAGGCTGCTAATCCAAAAGCTAATTTCTGGCTGTCCAAAACACTTCAGGATACATTTTCAGCACAATCATGGGGATTCAACTGGGTAACTTTCATTAAGGTTAACAGGAAGTGAATAACTAACACCCCACCTAGAAAATGCATCTCTGAGTGAAGTGGGAGGGCATGTGGAACATGTGTTCAACCCTCATTGGCTCACTCAGTAATGGTCTCTGGCAACTTGCTTGGCTACGTTTTCCTAAATCACAGACAGCTGAAGACTAGACAAGAGCTGTACTTAACTTCCATACTGAACCTCCAACCCAGGCTATAGTGGGCTGTTTTTCATTTCAGTGCTGCAAGTAATATTAGAAGCTATTTGTAGTAATATTATTTTGACCTCCTAGTATCAGATACATAGGGAGCAAGAAAAGATTGGGCTCCACTGTGGGACCTCTTCTGAATACCCAGGGTATAGGCGATGTGGAAGGAGGTACGGGGGGGGGGCACATGCCCTCCCCCCAAGATTGGCCCTCGCTGGCTGGGGAGTGCGGAGTGCAAGTGCCCCCCCGAGAAGCGCTGATGGCATTTCCGGTTTTGCTGCTGGTACTTCCGTGGCCAGCGCTCAGCCACCGGGGGACCTCCCTCCCCTAGTTGGTGATCAGCCACTGATGCCCTCACAGTCAGGAGGCACCAGTCGCCCATGACCCGGGGCAGCCCACAGTCAATGCACGCAAAAAGGCAGAACTCCTGAATACATGCTTTGTATTGGTATTCCTGAAACCCAACGGGGGCTGCTCATTTGACCAGAGGCCCAGGGAACAAGAGGAAGGTAACAGCCTACACAAAATCAGCCCAGAACGGGTGAAGGATCTTTTACAACACTTGGACATCTTCAAGTCCGCTGGACCAGATGACCTGCACCCAACAGTCCTGAAAGAACTGGTCAAACTTAGAGCAGCAGTATTGGCCAAGCTATTTGAAGAACCGTGGAACTTGGGAGTGGTCTCAGATGACTGGAAGAAGGCCAATGTGGTACCCAACCTTAAGAAAAGGAAGAGGGATGACCCTGCAAACTACAGGCCAGTCAGTCTGACTTCAGTCTAGGGTAAAATCTTTGAAAAGCTGGTTAAGGAGGCCATCAACTACAAGCTGGTAATGGATGGGGTGCTAAACAGCAACCAGCATGGCTTTGTCAAAGGCAGATCATGCCTGATGAACCTTGTGTCCTTCTATGACCATATCACTAACTATTTGGACAAGGGACTTGAGGTTGATGTCATCTACTTAGACTTCAGTAAAGCCTTTGACTCTGTCTCCCACGGGATTCTCTCTAACAAACTGAAGAGTACTGGGCTGGACCAGTCTACAGTGAGGCGGGTGGACAAGTGGCTCAGAGGCCTCTCCCAGAGATTGGTGATCATGGGGATGGCCTCATCCTGGAGGGCCATCTCTAGTGGGGTCCCCCGGGGATCGGTGCTCGGACCCATGCTATTCAATATGTTCATTAACGATTTGGATTAAGGGGTAGAAAGCGCAATGATAAGTTTGCAGATGATACCAAGCTGTGGGGAAATGTGGGCACACCAAAGGACAGGGCAAAGATCCAGGAGGACCTAGACAGACTGGATTTATAGGCAGAATGAAATCAGATGAGGTTTAGCAGGGAGAAGTGCAAGGTCCTTCACCTGCGTAGGAAGAACCCTCACCACAACTATACAATGGGTGGTAGACTACTGGCTGGCACAACATGTGAGCCAGACCTGGGGGTTACGATTGACTAGAAGATGAATATGACCCAATAGTGCAATGAGGACAAAAAGGCCAATAAAACTCTGGCATGCATCAGCCACTGTGTGGCCAATTGATTCAGGGAGGTATTCCTCCCTTTCTATTCAGCATTGGTGAGGCCTCAGCTGGAGTACTGTGCCCAGTTCTCAGCACCGCACTTCAATAAGGACATAGATAAGCTCAAGAGGGTACAAAGAAGGGCCACCCATTTGATTAAGGGCATGGAGGGTAGGCTCTATGAGGACAGACTCCGGGAACTGGGCCTGTTCAGCCTGAGGAGGAGAAGGCTGCAAGGTGACTTGATAGCAGCCTACAAGTACCTCAGGGGGGAGCATCAAGAACTAGGAGAGCAACTATTCAGGAGGGCACCTCAAGGGAGGATGAGGATGGGTATAAACTAATAAAGGCTAAATTCAGGTTGGATATAAGGAAAAACTTCTTCTCTGTAAGGGTCACCAGAATCTGCAAGAATGCTCCCAGCAGAGTTGGTGCAGTCACCCTACTTGGAGGTGTTTAAGACGAGGCTGGAGAGGCACCTTGCTGAGCTCATCTGAGTCCAATACTTCCTGCCCATGGCAGGGGACCAGACTTGATAATCATACAGACCCTTCTGGTTCTATGATTCTATTTCCATGTTCTTTACCTGTTGAATAGAGGGATGATCCAGTTCCTAGTTCATCCACACCTTGCAGTCTCTCCCATCACCAGCTTTCCTTGTGGTCCCCATCTTTCTTGGTCTCCTTGGCCTCTGCTCTCACCATTTGCCCATTTCTTTGCTAACACATTTTCTCCTGACCCAGTTTTTCTTTATACCTGCCCTCCCAAGTCTCCACCACTGCACCTGCATAGTCTTCTGTCTTATACATCTATGGAGTCAACTAGCTTCTGTTGACTCTAAATTGTTAATACAGCCCTTACATTGTTAGCATATATTTTCTTTTTTCTGATCTCAAACAAATGTCAAGTCTTCACTGTGGTGGACAAGAAACATCTGATGTAGAAAAAATGGCTGGAAATATTTTTTTAAATAAAACTGCAATAAAACAATAAATTTTCATCAATATTTCAATTTTTAACATTCTTTCTTTTAGTTTAGCTACAATATCATTGATAAAAGAAGACACTGATACCACTTCAAGCAGCTTAATGCAGTAGATGTTATCCAAAGAAGGCTTTGCTATATGTTTCAAAAAAGAAATTATTTTGAATGATCTCAGTCTCATCAAGTTTTTGCCTACATCAAACATGTCTCACACAATGTGGTGAATTAACACTCTTTGTTCTGAGATTAGACCAGGGATGTATCACGGAAATCATATACAGGCAAAAATATGCTAAGTCTGAAGTAATGAACACATGGGATCTCAATGGAGTATGCACAATTCCTTGAAGAGATAAGATAGGATGGATACTACAGAGGTTCTGACCAGAGGGCATGACACTATTTGGGCACTTAATGAGTGGGGTCATGAGGCCCACAGAAATTCAGTGACAGTGTTTGGGCTCAGACTAGAAGTGGGGTTGCCATGGAAAAAGATTAGGAGCTGAGGCTGTAGAGGCTATTTGATAAAGCATTATGCACAAGAACAGGAAGGAAAAATATACCTGTTCATTAAACACTTTTCTCTAAGTTCTTTCACAGAATGAACAGGGCATAAATAGAATAAGCTGCCAATGGTATAATAAGAAACATCTCAAGTAGGAATCTTTCAGGAAGCTTTACACAACTGTTCTGAGGGATATATAGGACTATTCCCCAGAACCAATGATTGCTGTTACACACTGTTGATTATGTGCCCTTGGGGCAGTGTAATTGGTAAACCAAAAATTCAACTGTTATGCTGGACGTACAATTTTTAAAAAAACAACAGGCATTTTCTGCATTCTTTAATAAAACCCTTTAATCTTTAAATAATGTATGTGTTACATAACAAAGTGTACATATGACAGGGTTTATTTTCATATTCTTAACTAATGCCAATTCAGCACAAGAAATAAGGAAAGCTATTATTTGTCAAGGAGCTTCCATTTTTTTCTTGGTAAGAGTTTCTATTATGCAATCATACAGCATGGGGAAATGTGAAAATATTTCATAAACAACACAGCATGCTAACTGCTCTTTTCCCCACTACTATAAATTGCATGTTTAAATTACTGCAGGTGTCCTCGTAAGTCTCTTAACACTGAACCTTCTGTTCTGTTCAGAGCTCTTTATTTTTCATTCACATTTAAATTCCTCATTCGTGAAACTACTCTTCAAGACAGGATGTAACACATGCTTAAAGTTACATATTCTTAACTTAAATTTAAGAGATTTCCTAACTGAGGGACCCTAATTTCAGGAGCTCTTTTTGCAATGGTTTGAACTAAACCTGAACACTGAATAATGTTCACTTACCTTTTTCCTTTGGAAGTTCACATCGAGTTTCATTGAGGCACACTTGTTCAATGTATTCAGTCGTCTACAGGTAAAGCAAAAGCCAAAGGTTAGCAACCTGTTAATGAAAGGGACTTTCCATGATTTCAAAAGCTGACCACTTATCTATTTGTGGGGTTGTAATTTATATAACAGGATTCAAAAGTAACCATATTTTATTTTGTTCTACACTACAGACCTATACAATGAGAGGATCTCACAGCTCAACAGTTTTCATAATTAGCTCTCAGATACAGCTATTCATATTCTATTCAGAGCATTTTGCAAATCAAGTGAATGTTATTTTATGCATTTCACAGATGGGGAAACTGAGGCTCAGAATGGGGAGGCAATTTGACCATACAAGTATGTAACCACAGTACTTCAGAACCCTTTTCTTGCAAATACTGCAGGATTCAAATGACTTATTAGAATCAGAATGCGAGTTAATTTCAGATTTCACTCCTGTTAGGCAGTTAGTAAAGTAAATGTTAAGGAAGTTTGTTGAGATTAATCAAATATTATTTAATTTAGTCTCATAGTCTATTCTTACATGTACAAATCCAATACACTAATACATAGAAGGTAACAAATAAGTTATCATCAACCTCCTTAAATAAATGCCTTGTTCATCCTTCAGATGATATTATAGTAATTTTTAAAAGACTTTTTCCTTGTTAATTTCAAAATATTAAAATTTTGACAATGGGTTAACATTATTATTCTCTAGGCTGAAGAACTATGTACATACATACTCACATCTTCATACATCAAAATGAGAGATCTATACATATATGCAAAAAACATATATTTTTAATTATGGAAGTGTTAGGTATGGGATAAATTACATGGGTATATGATAAAACTATAATATGTATAACATAATATACTCTCATATATTATCACCTGCCCAATCACCTGCCCAATCCACCTCTTTAGGGGCTTCATCTAATATTAAAATAGATAGCAGCTTAAAATAACCATCATTTAAAAAAAGTCAGTCCACCAAAGAAACATTTATCAATTCTCTTTATCCTGATTATTTTTTAATTTTGTTCAGCAAATTGCACCTGCCAAAACCCATTCATGGATAAAGTAACCTTCCCTAAGTCATGACATATCATCCTGGGTTCATCACATTTGTGTGCATTACAGATGCACACTCACACCCTTGCATAAAAAGAGGTGAATACTTGTGATCATTAGGGCTTTGTAACTACTTCATCAGTACTGTTCACAAATCCACCCCCAAGACTTAATTCTAGGATTGCAAAACTCTCAGAAGATTCAAACATAAAGAAACCAACAAAACCCCCAAACCCAAACAGATAAACAAGCAGAAGAAACTCTAAACCTAGTACCAAAAGTGTTCTTGTTTTGTCCCGGTATGGAATTGCTCAGCTTGAAATTGCTCTTTCTTGAGGCTTCACAATGGTTTTGTCCTACCCTTGCCCATGGTGGAATTGTTTAAATATAAGCATCTATCCTTGTTCCAAATACATACATATGAAGATACATTTTCAAAGGACTGAAACTCATCCTTACTGTGGAGACAATTTGCTCCCCAACATGAATCACAGGCTAAAATCTGATTTCATGCATCTCTAAATTAACTGGTTTCTGCCTTAGAACAGGTAAGCAAAAGGGGCAGGTATATAAAACACACTATTTTATTGGGATTCTCAAAAATATTGTGTAGCTTGCTTGAGCAAGCCAGTTGTGCCCAGCTATTACAATAAATTGTTAGGCACTCAAATTTACCTAACTAAATCAAGTGAAACTTTAAGTAGCATAAGCTAGTCCATTCCTGCAAAATCATCTCATTAAACAGGTATCTTGAACTCCCTGTGTGTCTATATAATGAGAAAAATGAGACAGAGACATGTTTCGATATAAACTCATAACCTTATAGTTAGGGATACTGAGTATCTGTAGGTTTCTCTGAAATTGTTCAACATCCTGTACAGTCAGGCCATAAATCATTAACTCCATTAATCCGTAATGGGCAATGGAGATGCATTAGCTGAAAAGCAGAGGTACAGTTTTCTTGTGCCTTCATAACAAACTGATTTCCCCAGAAGCTTTCAAAATAGTTTAACAAGCAGCCCTGTACTCAAAGCCTATTTGCAGTTCTTAGAGAGGAGAATGTATAGCACAAAGAAGATGCATTTCAGATTCAAAGGATGATGCTTCTCCTTTTAGTCAATGCAATACCATATGCATCTGAAGAAATAAATGATTTAGCTGAGATAGAACACGAATTTATGGTGGAAGGGAAAGGGAGAGTCAAAGGCCAATGGCTTGCATTTTGTTTTATTTGCAATTGAGGTAACCTTAGAAGCCAATTGGGGTTTCATAAGTAGCCGAGGGCAAAATCTGTATTCACGCCCAAAAAAGGCCTCTGCTCTATTGTGGACAGCTACTGGAATCATGTGGTCAGACAAACCAAACAGACTAAACAAGAAGTCGTAATTTTCCCACTAACTCTACCGGAAAGCCAGGATTATTTCAGTCATAAACTGATGGGTTACTTTTTTAAGAGTCAGTCTCATTAACTCAGAGACATTACCAGCTACACTGTTATCCTGACTGCTTTCTAAACTGATATTTGTATAAAGAAACTATTCCATCAAAAAACAGAGCCAACTTTAAAGGAGACTGTGCCTCAACCTCAGCTTTTAGCTTCTGTCATCTACAAAATTATAACACATTCTGGGGCTTTTCCAAAATCATGGAAAGATTTGCCAATACATTTACAGGATTAAAGATCAGCTTTATTAGTTTGCCTGTTACCAGCATCTCCAATTAAATCCAGTCTGTTTGAACTTCTCACATGCTGTTGTTGTGCCAATGGAGGCAGATAGCCTTCCCATCTGCTTATAACTATTATGTGAGTGACAGCCAAAGCCTCATTAAAACACAAGTCTTTGACTGAAAGACAGGCACTCATGTCTTGATCAAAGAGGAAGAGGCCACTGAGTTGCTATCTACACTTTTCATGTCACTGCCTCAGAACAAGGGAGAGGTTACAGTGTTCGTAGGTTTAACAAAACACGAACCTTGAGTTTAAAGGGAAGACAGTACAACACATGTCAAATGAAATAAACAACATTGGTAGGTATCGCAGGAGGGTTTGGCATTAAAAAAATAAATATATACTGTATTAAAGCACTTGTCAGCGAAACTGCAAAATATTTAGGGAAATCTTGCAGCTCATACTATAAATAGAGGGTCAGTGAAGTTTTCTCAATTTGTTCTTCACATAGTAATAATACTGTTATTGATAAGCACCATCACTTATATGTATAACATGGAATCACTGAGCATCAAGGCATCAAATTTTGCTGTTATTGTCCATTATGCTGCAGGCTCTTTGCCTGTTGTATCCTGTACAGCCCAAAACAGTGACTAACAAGTAAATAAATAAATAAAGCAAGGCAGAAGCTTCTTAACTAGGAAATCTAGTGGGTGGCCTACTATCCAACTTCAACAGTTTTCCAGATTATCCTAAGACATCTTTAAAGTGACTTTGAACTGTGTGAACTCCCCCTGAATCTGGTCTGCAGTTGCTTTGTAGCAGCTGTGGGGGAATTCAGCCAATGGTACACCGGGGTCATGCAGAAACTAGTCTGCCAGAAGGAACTAAATGCAATTGTGTGGCAGGGAGGGAGCAATCACCCGGGAAGGACATCTCCTGTGTCTGCAGATCAGAGGTTGCACTCTGCTGTGCATCTTCAGGATCCAGGGGTGAGAGAGAACTCATCACATTAAACTCAGTGACCCATAGGCCCCCGCTCAAGGGGATGTTCTGCTGGGAACTGCCATTGTTAATTATTACTATTTTGTAATAACATTGTGCCCAGAAGCCTTCATTGTGGACAAGGAGCCCATTGTTCTAGACCTGTACAAACAGGGAACAAAGAGATGATCCCCATTCAAAAGAGCTGCCTGGTAGGCCTGCGTGAAGTGGACAGTATTTGCTTCGGATTCAGTGATTCAGAGGGACAGTGATTCGATGCGGTGATTTGAATAACTGTCCTGATTCGATTTGGTCGAATCCGAAGATATTCGGTGCTGCATCTTATTCAGCCATAGACTATACAGACAGACAGTGCCGGCAGGAGCAGCTGCGGGGAGCAGCCAAACAAGCCCCGGCTTGAGCCAGAAGCCCCAGGAGAAGCCGCAGCTCCCCCAGCTGCCCACCCCCTCCGCTGGGGTGAGGCAGGCAGTCCTAGCAGCCCCAGGAGAAGCCATGGGGGCTGGGGGGAATGATCGGGGAGCTGGGGGATTGAACCAGGAACTGGGGAATCAAGTTGGGAGCTGGGGTGAATGATCGGGGGCTGGGGGAATGAACAGGGGCTTCCCCCCAGCTCCGGGTTCGATTCCCCCAGCTCCCAGTTTGATCCCCCAGCTCCCAATCATTCCCCTAGCTCCCCAATCATTCCCCTCAGCCCCCACGGCTTTTCCCGGGGCTGCTAGCTCCAGCCACAGCTTGTCCGGGTGCTCCCCTGGTTGCCCCCCCGCTGGAGCAAGGTACTCAGTGCTGGCAGCCCCAGGAGAAGCTGTGAGGGCTGGGGAAAATGATTGGGAACTGAGGGGAATGATCAGAGAGCTGGGGGATCGAACCAGGAACTGGGGAATTGAACTGGGAGCTGGGGGGAAGCCCCTATTCATTCCCCCAGCCCCCATGGCTTCTCCTGGGGCTGCCAGCACTGCCTGCCTCAACCCAGGTGGGGGGGCAGCCAGGGGAGCAGCCGGGTGAGCCATGGCTTCTCCCAGGGCTGCTGACTCAAGCTGGGACTTGTCCGGCTGCTCCCACTATCTAGTGCCTGCCTGTACAGTCCATGGTTGAATCTGCAAATCTCTCTGAATTGATTCAGAGGCTTCTGATTTGATTTGGAGAGATTAATGGGTCTCTGGTTCGATTTGGATTTGGAGATTCAGCTGCCGAATTGAGCCAAATCTCCTCCGAATCAAACTGGCTACCAAAGCTTCACACAGCCCTACTGCCTGGTCTCCTGTCATGGATTAGCCTGTGAGAGGGCA